GCTCGAAGTATCGTAGTTCGCTCTTCATGATCGTTCGCCGTCTGCAACGTTTCGTTTTTTGCCTGATCGTTCGTTTTCGTATAATTGCGCCGTCTTAAGTTATGGCGCACGTGTAAACTCCCGACTGAGATATACCGTTCTCGGTGGAACTTTTCACCCCGTGGAGGAGAACTTTCGCGTTCACAAGGCGCGAATAAACATTTTGATTAAGTACAAGCAATTCAGTCGCGGCAGAGAATCGTTTTCATCTTACGGCCGATTGTAAATTGCCGGGATAGTTCCCCCCTTGTATATTTGCATGCATTCAATGGGCTTCGACTGCACTTCATCGCGCGTGAAATAAAGGGTTATTAGCGTAATTAAAAGCATTGCGCCTTGCTGTCGGTTGTAATAGCTGAAAAGCGTTTTCGTTTCGAGGATTATAATTGGATTAAAGTTTTCAAGGTAATATCCCATATTTGCGTGAAAATGGCGGAAAGTTGAAACACGATTCTTCAAGCAAAACGACTAATTACAATTAAGCTGTATTATTTTCTATTCTGTCTACGATACGAAGAAAGCAATTGCAACGCGATTAAATTTCGTCTGCTATATGAAGCATTATTAATTATGAAGAAAGACAAAATAATTGAACTGCGATTTCTGCAATAAATATTTATCACTAGTGGCGATGAAACTACTGAAAAGCTGACAAAAATTCTTTTGATATTATGGATTTGAATATTCTTTGTTAAGAGAATTCGCTGAAAAATAAAGAAGAAGAAACTAAGCTTCAGCTGTAGCTAAGGCTCACTTTTCGAATTCAGAATATTATCTTAGCTACAATTTCATATCCTCTACAGTTCCGCAAGTCTGCAGTAGATATACGGATTCAAAAAAATTCTTTAGTGTGTATAATTGATAAATTAAAATTACTTGCAACTTACCGCTTTTTTAACAAAAGAAACGAATCCATATCCCTTGGATTTGAGCGTCTGTGGGTCTCTCACAACTCTGCAATCTCTGCAACAGAAACAAATCAACTTGTTAGTTGTTAATTCCTTCGAAGTAAATTTTTAACTTCTTTTCATCCAAAGATTTTTTCCCAAAATTAACTTTTCATCTTTTCGAACGTTCCTTAAATTTCCAATTGCACTCGTTCAAATATCGATCATCAAATAAATGTAACAATGTATGCACTAGCTTAGAAAAAGTAACGACTTAAAATTCCATTTTTGTTTTCCCCCTAAACAAGCCTCATAATTAATTTTCTCATTATTTGAATAATCTTATTATATCGCACATGCTGTTTCGCGAAATTTCAAATTTGGCAACCGTTTAGCTTCTCTCGCGTTCACACTGCAACGTAATACGAAAGCAACGCGCTTTCACGAGACCCTTTAACTGCACATCGGTTTTTCTCCCATCGATCAACAAGATTCTCCAGCGTATCACGAGCCGAAATCCGTTTTACCCGTTATCGTAATTTAATAACGCCGCAAAGAAGACCTCGATTTATTTTCGAAGCGTTCTCTCGAACAACGTTGACAACATTGTCGAGGGAGTTGGAGCCCGGTTGCTGGACATCCTCAAATTCTTCCTCATAATTAAGATTCCAGCAATGCTTACCAGGCGAAATTAGGAATAGTCGGGCAAGGGAGCGGTTTGCTGCCAGCTCAGAATCGTTCCCCTCTCGACTTAAATAAAATATTCCGTCGACTGACGGGATCTGGTATGTGGTTTGAATAAAATTCTCGGTTATGGGTCTGCCTAATTTTTCATCTCGCTCCCTGCCTCCTGTTTCAATTTTTTTTTTCTCGATCCTATGCAAGAGGGCTCCGAGAGGATTCTAGCTTTTACGGCAATGTACACTTTGCTTCGATGATCAACGAAGAGGTATTAGACCTCACTTTGTCAGAGAAAGGAATTTTTCCAATGATTCATTTCTTAGCTTAGGTTTACAATTTCGAAGCTTTGTTAGAATAAGGCAGGAAATAAAATCCAATTTCTAATATTCTTGTATGAACTGAAAAATATTAAAAATGTTCGTTCTATATCTTTTTGATTATCTTAAATCTGTTCATTAATTTTTGGATTAAAGGAAAAGAATTGTACGCATAAAGGTAATAGTAATTAAGAAGGGTAGTAAAGCTTCTGAATTCTATAATTTCCATTTTAGTGTCGTAAACTGATAGCAATTTAATGTTAACATTTAATAGTAGTAGTAATTTATTAATTTCAGTCGGTGGACTAAGAGATGGACTTGGTTAACATAATCATTTAGCTCATTCAGATTTCAGCTTTGGTTCAATACACATTTGGTTTCGCATTTTCCTTCCCTTATTGCAAACTCTTGACTCATCCAAACTTCTTGCCACACAAAATACCAATTTATCTTTGCACGTGACTTTCTTTAAACGAAAAGATTCGGTCACTTCTTTTTCTTCACGATGAGCAGAATTATTAGACGCATAAATCGTGGATCATTTATTGCTGTTTAGCTTATAATTGAAAGGTACATCACAGAAGAGTTTCCCTAACGCGACTGAATGAAATCGTGAAAAGCAGTAGTAAATATCAGGATCTGAGAAATGCAGGTAGAGCGGAGAAAAAAAGAAAAAGAGGAGAAATTGGAAAAGGGGAGAAAAGTCATGCGGAGAAAGTATGAAAGAGTGCCCGCTAAAAGGACAGAACGTGAAAAGGGATAAAAGAGAAGATAAGCAAGATTACGTGATTCAGGGAACAGTAGTACGCCAGTTTCTCAACCATGTTTATCTTTCTTCTCTCTGTTATATGCAACCTTTTCAGTTTTACCTGTTTCCTAACAATTTCTTCAGTCGCTAAAGCAATTAATCGTTTAAAGCGCAAGAAAAAAAAAAGGAGGAAACTGAACGCAACGGAGCGAAATAACGAGAACTTTTTCAAATAAAACAGGACGATTATAAAATATCCTTTGCATGAGAAATTCTGTACTGGATAGAGCAAAGGAGAATGTCTAATTGTCGTACTTCGATCGTTAATAACGTGTTTGAGTAGGGGAATGGCCTGGAAAGAAATTTTTGCACGAAACGAGATTGGAAATAAAGAGAATTTTTAAGTATTGCACGATTCATTTCAGCTGAGACTCTAAATTAATTATGCACGTATTATAATATACGAACGTTTCTTAATTTTATTTTATTCTCACCATGTTCAGAGGAATGAAACACAATGTAATAAATCGAATTAAGGAAATCAACTTCGAGGAAACCAAATAAACAGCAGTTAGAGAAGTGAAACAAAATTGCGGTTAGCTGTAAACGTAGCCTTTCTGTTCAGTTATGCATTTCCTTTCCCTCTTTGAACTCGTCTGAACATCCGCTCAAAGGGGTGCATAAAAAGATTACCAGTTTATCAATAAAAAGTTGAGTGTGATCTTGACAACTTCGAAAAAAAAAAATGTACTGTAATTATCTTAAAGGCCTCTTTGAACCATCTTACGAGACACCAGAATAACAACAGAATAATTGAACGTGATCACGTTAGACGGTCTACCCCGTACATAATTAATTCACAAATTGTCTTTGTAATTCCTCTCTGTACCTCTGTAGCTGCAATTTTTTCCCCAAGAATTCTGCCGATCGATTACATTTCGTTCCTAATTTCGACATATATGTGGCACAGCAATAGGAAACGTTCGTAGCATTCGTCAGAGAAATCGGCAAATTACAGAACAAACTGGGTCTCCTTTCGAGCGGTCCGCGATGTTAGCCGAATCACGCCATTGTTTTCTGCGACTTTTCAGCGAATGCCGGCGAATGTCACGGTACACGAGCGTGAGTAATAGTTAATATAAGTTAGATGTAGAGCACGCCAGTCGCATATGTCGTTGCCCACACTTCAAGTCTCCCACCCTTCGTTCTTCTGCATTCGATATAGCAGCCGCGAGAACCCTCCCCCGCTGGCATATTCTCATTGCGCGTTTCAATCCCCTCTCTCACCCTCCTTCTATCCACCCTCTAACCATCCCGCCACCGCTGCTCGTTTCCCTCTCGCTCTTCTACCACCCTGCGGCGTATCATGCTTCCACCCCCTTTACGCTTCGCTCTCTTTCGTTTTCTCTTTTCGTTCCTCCCCCGCCCGAGCCATCGCCGTGTTTTCTACGCGGCACTCCACGAGGAACGAAACAATCGCCGTGTCGTGGATTTACGTTTTCAACGGTAAAAATCGTAAATTAATGCACGGTTATTGACGCGATAAATCTCGAAATTTAATTCAAGTTCCATCGAGAGCTGTCCAGCTCCGGCGACACCCTCCCTTCCTCTTTGGTCGCGTGATATAGCCGCGACAATGGCAGAGAGATGTTCGTAGCCTGGGACGACAAAGCCCAGATAGGATAAAGAGTTAGTTTGGATTTATTGCTAGCTGGCTGGTCGAATGCGCGATGGACGTCAGAATGGAAACGGGGACCGGGCACCGATGATTCAAATTCCGCCGTCCTAGACACCCACGTCCGGTCGGTACGAAAGCCCAGGGCTTGTCTTTCACCCTATCAATCCAGCCAAGTCTTTATTCTGCCGGGGCTGTCGGGAGATCCTCACATCCCACCGATTTTATTTATTGGCTCAAGCATGGTCGCGTTTCGAACCGGAACACCGCGAAACCGATCCGCAAACTGCACCGAGAAACGGCTCGCGGTGCAACTCCGTTGCGCCTTCGGAATTTACCAACGAAATCGGCATTTAGTCGAACATTAAAACGCGAAAAATTTCGTTATTCTGTGTTACGTGGAAAAATTGCAATTGTGCGTTTTGCAATTAATCGTGAAACTTATGCACCGATGTAAGAAATGCAATTACATTTTTTATTTTTTTTTTTTTGTATTACGTGGTTCATCGTTGACTTTTGTATTTTTATTTGGTTGCTTTCTGAATAAAGGTAACTTGAATGTGAGATTAGTGAAATAAATCTGATGAACCTAAAGGAAAAAATTACTAAATAAGATATCTATTTAGATAGTAAAAGACTCTCCCTAAAAATCGTCAACCACACACAAACACGTTTAGAAGTATAATATACACGATTTAAATTACATCTCAGTCTACGTAACTAATTATACGTAACATGAATTATGAAAATGATACAATATTCGGTATTGGAAATTCCACCTATTACAGCCTGTCTCGCATTGTACATCGATTTTCCCTAAAATTACAATAATTCGTTCACTGTTTATAATTAATAGCTGTAGCTTATCGAACACGCAACAAGCTCTATATCAATAAGCTAATATTTTGCACTTACTTCAGAACTTCAGATCCGTCGAGCGTTTCAAAGAAAGTACAAAGCAATTAGCGTCTATTCTCAGCGAAGAAATATTTCTGAAACACCGCCTGATTGGATTTGGAATGAATTTTATCCTCGGAGAAAAAGGGTCTTCGTATATGCATATACTTTGAGACACACAGAGCGCAGACGAGCAAAATCTCATCGTCTTTTTGCCACCGTACTTCTAACCCGTGAAACTTTTATGCGTTAACTGTCATACTCCGATGGTTTTTTCATACGCTGTCAGTGCTCCGGCGCAATCTAAGTGCTACAGAGGCAGTTTTTCTCGTCGTCATCGTCAGAGGAAGATCCGAACTCATTAATTACCGTTAATAAAAAGAACCGATGCGTCAGCGTGAAAATCTTTGTACCGGGGAAAATCTTTTTTCTTATCATTGTACAGAGAAAAATTGAACAGAACCAGCGGTGGAGAATATCATTTCCGAAAGAACGAAAGCATCGGAGAAAGCAAGTGCTTGAGCTTCATCAATCTACCCGCTAATAACTTGGGCAAGGTGTCACTCTACTTGTTCGGCCCGATCGTTACCGTTCCTCCTCATCTTAGCTCGCCTCTCGACGTTTCCAAGATATTACACTACTTGTACGAATAAGTTGAAATGATTACGTTCGTTAGAGGATAATACCGGTGATAAGTGGTAGTTATAGTAATATTATCGTGTTCGAAATTAAATCGTGAAACAGGATAAAACTAATTT